TTTTGGTTTTTTTTTTTTTTTTTTTTTTTTTTTTTTGAGATGGAGTCTCGCTCTGTCGCCCAGGCTGGAGTGCAGTGGCGCGATCTCGGCTCACTGCAAGCTCCGCCTCCCGGGTTCACGCCATTCTCCTGCCTCAGCCTCCCGAGTAGCTGGGACTACAGGCGCCCACAACCGCGCCCGGCTAATTTTTTGTATTTTTAGTAGAGACGGGGTTTCACCGTGGTCTCGATCTCCTGACCTTGTGATCCGCCCGCCTCGGCCTCCCAAAGCGCTGGGATTACAGGCGTGAGCCACCGCGCCCGGCCTGGTTGTTTTCTTAGATCTGTTTAGTAGGCAGCAGCGCTAGCCAGAGGAAGTAGGCCCCTCACCCCAGAAGCTGACAGTGAAGGCACCCGAGCAGGCTCCAGCAGTCGTGCCTGTGTGGCAGGGCTGGCCTTGCCCATCTGTTGCCAATGCAGGTGGTTCCTGTGCTCACTGAGTGCATATGTATGTTTCTACCATCCTGAAGAGATGAATTGTTTCTGCTTAAATTTTTTGACAGTGCTTTTATTATCACACCGTGTCCTCCCAAATCCTGTCATATATTGAATTCTTTAGCTGGTTATGTAGTTGTGCACCATTTGAAAAGAAGAAAGCACTCTACCCATATGTGGTTCCTCAGGTTGTTGATATGAAAAGGAAAGAGATGAGAATGATTAGTATTGAGATGTGGGCTGTTTGGAAGTTTAGAGTTAATCCTTCCGGAGCTGGAGCAGGAGCGTGGTAGGCAGCACGCTGTTGGGGAGAGTTGGAGGGGGTGACTCGGAGTGTGGATGGAGGGGAGTGAGGAAACACTGTGTTATGTTCGACACACACTTCATAGCAGGGAGAAACCACAACTCGGAGCATCAGGAGGACCGCAGAGGTTGCCCTTCACAGAACTTTACCCTCTCAGTTTTAATTGGCTAAGCCCACAGCACTGTGTAGTACATGTTAAGATTCTTGCCCCCATTTTATCCAATTAAGAAAAGTTCTTGTCAGCGTTACAGCCCTGGGACTTTGTGAATTTATGCTAATGTTGAATTGATGTGTGATATTAGAGGTAAGAAAGGGATAAGGGAACTAGAGTGTTTACTGCTTTCCCATTGTGTGGAAGCGGCAGCAGAGGCTCTACGGAAGGCAGGTGGCCCACAGGGAACTAGAGAAACAAAAGGAGAGTCTTTTACCCCCCAAGCCATCGCCATCAGCAAACTGAGAGCTGCCTCTCTTCCTCTCCCTGCCCTGTGTCTGTCTCCACCTCCTTCCCTCTCATCCTTGCTCTTTCCCTGTTCTCTTTATCCCCCGCCCCCTTTCTTTCTCTTCCTCCTTTCTCCTCCCAGGGACCAAAGGGAGAAGGGAGAGCCGAGAAAGTGGCCCTGCCATCCCCTACTGGAATAACCGCCGCCGCTGCCCATCACTGGTGGCCACATCCCTTCTAATTTGTAGTGGTGGGTTTCTTTCCTTGAAGAGCAGGGTACTTTTAAACAGATAGAGGTAATGGGAGGATTAATATTCATAGGTAAGTCCAAACGGAATATGTTTAGCTTCCTTACTCCAAAGGTCTGCTGTTTCTGAGATTACACTAAGTTCAAACAACATCATGTCAGTGAAGAAGCCATTAGCTGCAGGAACACACTGAGAAGTGAAGGAGCCTGTGTACCAGAAGGAAATGGAGCTAGGATCTTTGCAAACTGCTGAGTAGAGGGGAGAGGACGGGTAAATGAGACAGACGGAAAAGAGCTGGAAAAGAGAGCCTCCTTTAATGGCACATTTTTATCCTGAGATTTCCAAGCATTTTATATATGTTGCATGGTAAGGAAGAATTGAAATAGGCAGTAGAAATGAACGAAAATGAAAAGGGAGGGGCCGGGTACAGTGACACATGCCTGTAATCCCAGCACTTTGGGAGGCTGACTGGATGTATCACTTGAGGTCAGGAGTTCAAGACTAGCCTGGCCAACATGGTGAAACCCTGTCTCTACTAAAAATACAAAAATTAGCCAGGCGTAGTACCTGTAATCCCAGCTACTCGGGAGGCTGAAGCAGGAGAATCACTTGAATCCGTAAGGTGGAGGTTGCAGTGAACTGAGATCATGCCACTGTACTCCAGCCTGGGTGACAGAGTAAGCCTCTGTCTCAAAAAAAAAAAAAAAAAAAAAAAGAAGAAAGAAAAGAAAGAGGAGGGATGCTGTTGGCGGGGAGGTGAGAATTATGGCTGGCTGGGGTACAGGAGGGGTTTGTCTTTATTGCCAGGGAAAAGCAGTAAAAGGCATAAACTGGGCTATTGGAGGAATTTCACTTTAAAAACACAGTTTTTGTTTTTAGAATCAAGAGTATCCTTTTACTACCTACTTTTTAAAAGTGCTTGATTTAAACTGTATGTTGACCAAAAATAGGTAAACATTTACAAAAGCTGCAGTAGTTCAGCAGCTGGGAAAACAGTCCCTTCCAAGTTAGGAGGTGAACTAAGTTAACCATCACACATTTAACTGGCATCTTTCCATCTTTATTCAGTACTTTCACTGTGGTACATATTTTCAAATATTTTAGAAAACTTTAGTGGGATTCCAAACACTGTCTTCAAAGAATGGTGAGAATATTGTAGATGAGGAACAACATTCATAGAGAGGTGCAGAAAACCCCGACACTGAGCCCAGCAGGGTGGTCATCAGGCAGGTGTTTGAGAGGCCGGGATTGCACGCACCTTACAGAGGAATCAAGTGCAACAAGCTGGGGTTAGAGGAGGGATGGCATGGGTGGCAGTGGCGCCCTGTTGATGGGTGCAGAGGTGAATTTTTGGGGTTAGAGGAGGGATGGCATGGGTGGCAGTGGCGCCCTGTTGATGGGTGCAGAGGTGAATTTTTGGGGTTAGAGGAGGGATGGCATGGGTGGCAGTGGCGCCTGTTGATGGGTGCAGAGGTGAATTTTTGGGGTTAGAGGAGGGATGGCATGGGTGGCAGTGGCGCCCTGTTGATGGGTGCAGAGGTGAATTTTTGGGGTTAGAGGAGGGATGGCATGGGTGGCAGTGGCGCCCTGTTGATGGGTGCAGAGGTGAATTTTTGGGGTTAGAGGAGGGATGGCATGGGTGGCAGTGGCGCCCTGTTGATGGGTGCAGAGGTGAATTTTTGGGGTTAGAGGAGGGATGGCATGGGTGGCAGTGGCGCCCTGTTGATGGGTGCAGAGGTGAATTCTTGGTGCGCTTCCTGGCCTGCAGCATTAATTTCCTCTGTTGTGTCCGCCTTGGATGTGGAGCAGGTGGCCCTAATGAAATGCCTGAAAGAATAGGGGCAGATAAAGGAGGCTCCTTCTGAAGCCCAGGAGGCTCTCTCATTTTTCCAGTGCAAACTAAGAGATGGAGAGGCACTGCTGATCTCATTTGAGATGAGTAATTTGCCCTAGCTAGTGGGTGATGAAGTTGAAATCTGCACCCCAAAGCTCCTGTTCTATTATACAATGCCTCAGGGACATTTGTCTCCTAACTAAGCTGAGAGCCAAGGAGGGAAACCATTCTCAATAAAGAATGTATTCTGAAATGTGGAGATGCTACAGATCAGACCTATGTTGGCAGGTTTCCTGGAAGACATGGTAAAAGTCAGCTTTGTTTCCTTTAGGTGAATCCCGCGGCCCTCCAAATCATCACATGGGCCCGATGTCAGAGAGGCGGCATGAGCAGAGCGGCGGGCCTGAGCATGGGCCCGAGAGGGGGCCTTTCCGGGGTGGCCAGGACTGCAGGGGTCCCCCTGATAGGCGTGGCCCTCACCCAGACTTCCCCGATGACTTCAGCAGACCAGATGACTTCCACCCTGACAAGCGCTTTGGCCACCGGTTACGTGAATTTGAGGGGCGAGGAGGACCTTTACCGCAAGAAGAGAAGTGGAGGCGAGGGGGCCCTGGGCCTCCGTTTCCCCCTGATCACAGGGAATTCAGCGAGGGGGATGGCCGGGGTGCAGCCCGAGGCCCTCCGGGGGCGTGGGAAGGCCGCAGACCCGGAGACGACCGTTTCCCCCGGGATCCCGAGGACCCACGTTTTCGAGGGCGCAGAGAAGAAAGGTGGGACAGATACTTTGTGGGCCCATTCCATCTTCAGTGGAGCTTTTTACCTGCTCTCTCCACAAAGGTCTCTTTCTTCTTTTTCTTGAGGAAAGAGAATTACATCAATTACTAGCCCTACACTCTCTAGAGTTTGCATTTGGACTTTTTAAAAGTGTGCTTTTTTAACCTTAGTCTTGTTTTAATCTTTGCTGTCTAGAAGTCTTTTTTGTTTTGCTTATTTATTTATTTTTTGGTCCTTTTAAAGAGATAGGAGGATCAGTATACTACAAGACTTGCTGGGATCTGACTTAAAATTTCCAGGTTCTTCTTGATTAGAATGATGAAATATGAGGCAGCTACCTAGATTGGAAATAAAGGGGTTGTGAAATAGATGCAAGTTTTGTGTAATTGCCCAATAATCTTAACAAACTTAAACTGAAAAACAATCTTCCTGTTAAACTTAGATCAGGCTTGAACACTCATCTCAGCCTGCTTGGGGAGTTTAAGGGAACAGAAGAAATGTGGAGAAAGAAACAGGAATTAGCCCAGGACCAGTGTGGCTTATGCCTGTAATCCCAGCACTTTGGGTGGCTGAGGCAGGAAGATCACTTGAGGCCAGGAATTCAAGAACAGCCTGAACAACATAGTGTAACTCCATCTCTACAAAAAAGAATTAAACATTAGCTGGGTGTGGTGGTGCACGCCTGTAGTCCTAGCTACTCAGGAAGCTGAGGTGGGAGGATCAGCTGAGGCCAGGAGGTTACAGTGAGTTACGATTATGCCATTGCACTTCAGCCTGGGCTATAGAGCAAGACCCTGTCTCTTAACAGAAAACAAAACAAAACAAACACCCAGGAAATAGTAAAATCTCAAGTGAGACTCAGAATATTAAAGATGATGATAATTGTTTATTTTGTGTCAGATGATGTTACCTCATTTAATTCAAGGAATTTGTTTTAATTTAGGAAATTAATGACCTCATTTTATTTAAAGAATTTGTGAGATAGGTGCGACTGTCAGCATCTATGCTGATTCAGACAGAGTAAGAGCAGTGTCTTGACTTTCCGAGGTCTGGCAGGTGGTAGATGTCGGAGATGGGCTTCAGGCCCATGCTGTTCAGCACTTCCGCTTTTACTGTAGTCTCTGACTGCTCCTTAGCTATCCATGTCCTTTCATCTCATTTTTTTTTTTTTTTCTTGAGACGGAGTCTTGTTCTGTCACCAGGCTGGAGTACAGTGGCACGATCTCAGCTCACTGCAGCCTCCACCTTTCGGGTTCAAGTGATTCTCCTGCCTCAGCCTCCTGAGGAGCTGGGATACAGGCGCACGCCACCTCGCCTGGCTAATTTTTGTATTTTTAGTAGGATGGGGTTTCACCATGTTGGCCAGGCTGGTCTTGAACTCCTGACCTCAAGTGATCCACGTTCTTCAGCCCCCAGAGTGCTGGGATTACAGGCGTGAGCCACCGTGCCTGGCCCTTTCATTCCATTTCTTACTCTTCTTGTGAATAGGTAGTTAATGCTGGGCACAGTGGCTCACTGTGGAGGCCGGCCGAGGTGGGCGTCGTGAGGTCAGGAGTTTGAGACCAGCTTGGCCAACATGGTGAAACCCTGTCTCTACTAAAGATACAAAAAATTAGCCAGGCATGGTGGTGTGTGCCTGTAAATCCCAGCTACTTGGGAGGCTGAGGCAGGAGAATCACCTGAACCCAAGAGGCAGAGGTAGCAGTGAGCTGAGATTGCACCACTGCACTCTAGCCTGGGTGACAGGGCGAGACATATATATATATAGTGGTTGGTGGTTGAGTTATGGTTGGCCAGCCCACCCTCAGGGGTGGTGAGAAAAGCATGGCTGATGACAGGCCCGGAAGCATGACATAGTGAGGGCTAAGGAAGCAATTGTTTTGGGAAGGGGAGATAGGGAGGTTAAAAATAAAGATGTAAGGGCTCCCAGTGTTTTTAAGACCCTCTCTTAATGATATGCAAGCATTACCTTTGACATGGCTTTTTATGACTACAACAGCTTTACATCTACATAATGTTCACTGGCTTATTGAATCTCTGCATCTTGTGCAAAATGTTACATTTTACCTTGTCTTTTTTTCTTTTTTCTTTTTTTGAGAGGGAGTCTTGCTTTGTCGCTCAGGCTGGAGTGCAGTGGCGTAATCTCTGCTTACTGCAGCCTTCGCCTCCTGGGTTCAAGCGATTCTTGTGCTTCAGTCTCCCGAATAGCTGGATTACAGGCACACGCTACCATGCCCAGCTGTTTTGTATTTTTAGTAAAGATGGTGTTTAGCCATGTTGGCTAGGCTGGTCTCGAACTCCTGGCCTCAAGTGATCTGCCTGCCTCAGCCTCCCCAAGTGCTGGGATTACAGGCGTGAGCCACCATGCCTGGACACCCTGTCTTGATTTGTACTGTCTTTCATCTGTCCGTGCAGACCCACAGCCTAGGCTGGTGTATAAGAGTGTAAAGGTATTGTGGTTATATAGGAGAAAGTCCTTGTTCTTAGAAGAAACGTACTGAAGCATTTAGGGGTGAAGCTCCTGTTGGCAACTGATTTTCAAATGGTTTAGAAAACATGTTCATGAGTAGCTAGACGGAGAAGATAAAGCACGTGTGGCAAAATATTAAGAAGGGATTGATCTGGGTGGAGGATCTGGGATGTTCATTGTACTGTTCTTTCAGCTTTACTGCAAGTTTGAAAATCTTCCAAGTAGAAGATTAGGGTAAAAGGCAATGGAATGGAAACTAGAGGAAGAGCAGAGGCTCGGCCTGGGAGGAGGCCACGCAGCTCATGCAGAGGGGCCCTGGAGGGCGTGCCGCTGCCTCTAGTATGCGCTGCCAGAAGGTCACTTTCTCTTCTTTCGCACAGGCCTCCTGGTACCCTGCGTGCCTCAGCCATGCTCCCAGTCAGTGTAGTCTCCTGGCTCCAGAATTCCTGAGAGAAGGGGAAGCTGCTCACTGAGCAGGGCTCCAGGCTGCCAGCTGGCCAGTGGATGGCTGCCTCTAAGCCAGATGCTGGCCTGTATGCCTGCCAGCTGTGGGCCAGGGCCATGAGTGCAGCTCGTGGCCACAGAGGCCTGCCCCTGGGTGGAGGCTGTGGGCTGGGGCAGATGGCAGAGCCCCTACCCACAAACAGGTCCAGTATGGTTGGCAGACACGATCTGTGCCCCCATTTTTCTGATTATATAAGTCATAAATGTTCATCATACAAATGTAGATGATAATGACAAGTATTTGTGAGGCAGTGATACAGAACCTGGGCCAAGGGTCAAGACTGGCTGAGGTCAGATCACCAGCACTTACTCTATGTCCTTGAATAAATGACATCAGTAATCTGGGCCTCAGTGTTCTCATCAATGGAGCTGCTGCTAATACCAGCTTCATACGGTGGCTGTGAGAATGAAATGAATGAAACAAAGTATACTTGTAAAGGACTTGGCATGGTATAGGCACTTTAAAAATGTTGATGTTGTTATTATTCCTAAAAGCCTAAAAGAAGCTTACAGTAACCCCACCCTCTGGTATGCTTCCTTCTGGTCTGTTTTTGCCTCTGGTAGTATTAATAGGATTATACAATGTGTCCTTTCAAAATACAGTTTTATTTTGTTTTCCTCCCAATCAGCATTATATCATGCTTTCTCATATCACATGCTTTTTTGAAACGTGAACTTAGTGGCAAGGTGTTCCCTGAGATGGACATTCTGCTGTTTTCGCTTTACAGTTTCAGAAGAGGAGCCCCGCCGAGGCATGAGGGCCGTGCTCCCCCGAGAGGAAGGGATGGTTTTCCTGGTCCTGAAGACTTTGGTCCAGAGGAGAATTTTGATGCTTCTGAGGAAGCGGCCCGAGGACGAGATCTCAGAGGTCGAGGTCGGGGTACCCCACGAGGTGAGCGAGTTACTAAGGACACCTGGTCTGGAAGGATAGGGTGCAGAATACAGTGGTTGTGAATATACCGGGAACAGTCTTGAGTGCAGCACTGTTTGCTCTGTTGTGTAGGAGGAAGGAAGGGTTTACTTCCCACTCCTGACGAGTTCCCTCGCTTTGAAGGAGGGCGGAAGCCAGATTCCTGGGATGGAAACAGAGAGCCTGGTAAGGAAAAGAACCGCTTGTTGGGTAACTCTAGATAGCAGTTCACAAAGTGAGTTCTGAGGGCCCTCTCTTGGGTGCACCGGGTCCCCTCTTCCAGCTCATGTCTCCCGGGGGCCTGGGCTGTCTCCTGTCCAGCAGCCACAGATCTTGATCTCAGCAGGTGGAATGAGAGCAGAGGAATCTGCCAGACATTACAGGGATCTATCTGAGTATAAAACAGGACTGCTCTTTCCACTCAATTGTTTTTGGAGAATAAAGTTAAGTAAAATTTTCTCAGTCTCAATTGCTAGTATGTTAAACATTCGTAGTTATAACTCTCATTAACAAATCTCTTAGGAGTCCTCAGTCATCTGAGACTGTAAAGATGTCTTGATACTACACCACGTGAGAACCGGTTCTCTGGATCTTAGTCTAGGTGGCTTACCCCGGGCCTGTGGTGGGCATTCAGCATGAGTGAACGGTGGCTTCTGAGTTGCTCCCTCCTCTCAACAGTGTCATTCCCATCTGCTTTTGGTCGCACTGTGCTTTCCTGTAAGGAGATTTGTTTCTTGTTTCAGGGCCGGGTCATGAACATTTTCGTGATGCTCCCCGACCCGATCATCCCCCTCACGATGGTCATTCCCCAGCCAGCAGAGAACGCTCCTCTTCTCTCCAAGGCATGGACATGGCATCCCTACCTCCCCGAAAGCGCCCCTGGCATGATGGCCCAGGCACTTCTGAGCACAGAGAGATGGAGGCCTCAGGAGGCCCTTCTGAAGACCGAGGAGGCAAAGGTAAGAGCAGGCCAGTGGTTATGGTTCCAGGAGCTGCAGGGGCTGGTGGAGGCCTTGCCTGCATCTGCTGCACATGCCCTTGCAGCCTGGGCTGTGCAGAGGCACATGCTTCTAAACGTGGTGCCAGTGCCACACAAGCTGTCCTCTGGTGGACTGCAACTTGGCCCCACACAGGACTCCACTCGCCTCCAGGAATCCCCGTTCGCTTGAGGTTTTCACTTCAGCCCTCTGCCAGGATGCCCCAGTCGTCTCTGCTGGGCTTGCTGTCTGGGAGCCCTGCTCTCACTGGCAGTCTGCCCGCCACGACGGCTGCTCGGAACCCGCAGGGGCTCTCAGTGGGAGGGAACAGTTGTCCTCTCCTGGGTGCTCTGTTGGTTTTTTAGCCTGGATCTAGAGGAACACTGCTTGTGCTCAAAGTCACAAAGACTTTGGAAAACATGGTCTATGGGCAGTGTTTCCGGGGGCACAGGAGATTCTCTCCTCAACTGGAAACTCTGGAGCTTTATTTTATAGGCACCACTAACTTGAGCCAGGAGTATTCGCCTCCGAAGGCTGACTACAACTCTGGTTGCAAGGCAGCGGGGGAGGTGCACAGGTGCTGTGGCTCGGAGGCTCCCGGGAAGGCTGCTCCCCACGTGCCCCAGCTTGTGCTGTGCTCCCGAAGTTGGCCTGTCTGTGTGGACAGTCCTTCCAGTACAGAGTTCTGCCATTTGGTCTTTTTGGGTTTTTTTCTGTCGCCCAGGCTGGAGTGCAGTGGTGTGATCTTGGCTCACTACAAGCAACCCCTGCCTTCTGGGTTCAAGCGATTTTTGTGCCTCAATCTCCCCAGTAGCTGGGACCACAGGTGTGCACCACCACGCCCAGCTAATTTTCGTGTTTTTAGAGAGATGGGCTTTTGCCACGTTGGCTAGGCTGGTCTCGAACCCCTGGCCTCAAGTGATCCACCTGCCTTGGCCTCTCAAAGTGCTGGCATTGCAGGCGTGAACCACCATGCCCGGCCTGCCATTTGGTCTTGATAGTTGTTTGTCTCAACAAAACCCTCAGAAATTACCTTATGTATCATCAATAGATCTCCCTGCATAAACACACTGTACTACTAGCCAGCGTGCTGTGACCTCGGCTGACTGTCTTGGGTCCTTGGCGTGCCATTATTAGGTCCCTCTGGTCAAGGACGTGCAATTAGCATGGGAATGACGTAGGAGCTGACACGCTGCCCAGGTGCCCTCAGGTGGGTTGAAGCTGCTCTTTGTAAGAAAAGAAGGCAAGATTGTTCCTTTGGCTGGTTCTCCTAACCTCATCTCAGCTAGATTCATATTCTATTACAAAATATAAGACCGTGGATAGTTTGCAGTAGTCTTCTGAAAGGGCATTATGGGAGATGTGACCAAATCCTATCATTTCCTGAGGAAAAAATTCTTACAAGGTAGATTTTTTTCCCTTTTTCTTTTTTTTTTTTTTTAAATATATTCTCAAGCTCCAGCAGAATGAAAGAATTTTAATAGTACCTAAACATTTGTGTGTTCAAGTCTGAAGCAAGTTAAGCTGTGCCTAGGTGATAACCTGAAAGCCAGTGTTTGTGGGGTTTTTGTGCTTTTCTTTTGTTTTTTCAAGAAATATTTTACTAATTATGAAAAGGAAGCCAAAAGTGCCACATGTCACAGGACAGTTCCAGTGAACACTCATCCTAGTTGGAGCACTTTTTATTAACATTAGCAGCGTGTACTTCCAAAGTCAAGTCAGTGTATTCAAACCTTCCCTCAACATACCCTGGTGGCTGGGAGCAGGTAGGTACACTTCCCATGGCCTGGGACGTGGCCCAGTGTGGCCGGATCTCCCTGAAGGTGCTCTGTGCTCATCTCTTGGCTTCCCATCGTCTGTCACAGCCCTGGGGACACGGATCTGGCTGATGCTGAGGCCCATGGCAATAAGCCAGGAAGGGGGAGGCAGGGTCAGGAAAGGGTAGAGGCACACCTCTCAGTACTCTGAATACCACTGCCAGTCTCCCTGGCACCCACCAGAACTGGTCCACTGTCATCAGAGAGTAAAGTTTGTACTGGGAGTTACTGACAAAGAGTTGCTAATACAGAAAGTCCCATGTGAAATTTTCTTTGTTTCAGGCCGCGGGGGCCCAGGACCTGCCCAGAGAGTGCCCAAATCTGGGCGTTCCAGCTCTTTAGACGGAGAACACCACGATGGATACCACAGAGATGAACCTTTTGGGGGCCCTCCAGGCAGTGGCACCCCTTCTCGAGGGGGCCGGAGTGGCAGTAACTGGGGTAGAGGGAGTAACATGAACTCTGGCCCGCCGAGGCGAGGAGCTTCACGGGGTGGTGGAAGGGGTCGGTAGAAGTTGGAACTGAGTACCCTGAGGCCTCTCTGGACAGTATTTAAGAACTTCTTGTGGACTTACCAAGAGAAACAAAAGGAAGCCTGCACCATTGTAGCCCTGAACTCTTCTGGGCACCTGAATCCCAGGAACCCTCAATGAGGTCTTCAAGATGAAGAGACTGCTGCCAGCTACCAGCCCAGCTGGCCCTTTCCTGTCCTGTCCACCCTCATTGCCCCAACTCCCATGTTGTTTTGTGAAGATAAAAGCTGGGATCTTTTTTTTTTTTTTAAGTCTCACAAGACATGGGGCATCTCCACAAATTTAAGTTCCTGTCCATTTGGAAATTTGTTTCTATGTGTACAGTTTGTCAGAGAAAAACATAAAAGTTTTTGTATGAATACAGAATGTGATTTACGCAAGAATTAACAGAAAACTAGTTGTGGAGTGCTTGCCTTAAGGAAACCTTTGGTTTCCATCGCATCCCATCTGCCGAGGAGTGCACGGTTATCGCTGATGTTCATGAGCATAGTAACCACTAAGTCATCTAAATTAATCTCAGCTGTGAACTTTGTGTTTCTCAACAAATTCTGTCACACCATTTTTGTGATAGAGAAATACTTGAAGATTAATGTAGTTTGTAGTAGGTTCAAAGTTATACTCAGACATGCTCTGACAGATGGAAAACTGAACTCTGAAGAGAAAATGCAGTCTTCTGGCTGTCCAGCGAGGGAGCTCCCCCTTGGAAGCATCTCCTAGGAATCACAGTGTAGATTTGAATCGCCTTGTCAGGATGAGGAGAGCAACTTGATGTTAGTCAGAAATAACGTCACATGCCCTTTAGATAACTTGAAATCACACATGGAGTTGATAAGGAATGGACCAAAATAGCTCCTAAAACCATTTTGGAACACTTAATTAATCTCTTTCTCTTCCATACTAGCTATGTGGAAATACCAGTGTTATGGCAGGGTGTACTTCTAATTCATAAGCCAGACAGATCTTGTCCATGGCAAATTCCTTGTTTGAAATAAACATACCATTTAGCCCAGTTTGGATTGGAAGCCAAAAATTCAGTTTGTTATACCCCATGATACTTTCTATACTGACCTTTATTTTGGTTTTACATGGAAGCTTTTATTAAAAGGACTGTCCTATGGCCACCTTAACATTTCATTACATTGGCAGCTTCAGTTTGGCGTCAAGTCAAATTTATTTGGCACATTTAGTGGTGCTGGAAGTTTCATTTTTTCTTCTTTTTTTTGAGACAGAGTCTCGCTGTCACCCAGCCGGGAGTGCAGTGGAGCAATCACGGCTCACTTCAGCTTCGACTCTGCCTCAGCGTCCCTAGTAGCCGGGACTACAGGCACACGCCACCATGCCCAGCTCATTTTTTTTTGTATTTTTTGTAGAGATGGAGTTTCACCACGTCGCCTATGCTGCTCTCAAACTCCCGGGCTCAAGCGGTCCACCTCCTGTGGCCTCCCAAAGTGCTGGGATTGCAGATGTGAGCCACAGGACCTGGCTGCTGCTGCTGGAAGTTTCAGTGGTTGCTTAGAAAAGGCATACTGACATAGTTTAACAGTATATGAAACTCTAGCTGGTTCTCCATGAATGTAAAAACTAGCAAAAGCTAACTGATTTATGTGGAGAAAATGTCAGCCATATACACTGCTTTTCAGTGTTAGAATCCAGAGACTTTTTTTTTTAACTTTGAAATTACAGCTTAATCAGCACCCCACCATAAACATGCTATTATAAGGCTCAAGATTGCTTTAGGTTATGGATATTTCTTCACTCTCCCCCAACTGGTATAGCTTAAAGACAGAGAAACTGTAATCAAATTTCATGAAGCTAAAACCGGATCCAGAGACCAAACTCATATCAAGATTAGCCTTTTTTTCCCTGAGATTCCAGTGGAAAAAAAATTTCATTATTTTGGGCTGTAACTTTAAAAACATAGTATCTCAAGCAGATAACCAGATCACATTTTAAACATTTTCATTTTACCTTTAAGCTCTACTGGACTTGACAGATCACATTTTGAGAGTGATTTCATTTAGAGAAAACAAGAAGCCTACATTATATCTATTAAATACATAATGGCATTTAAAAACATCACTGTCAGAATACATACTAGATGTTGTGATTTGAAGCTTATAAAAACTAGATTTTCAATGTTTGAACTGAGAGAAAATGTTTGAGACAGGGTCTCGCTGTGGCCCAGGCTTGGGTGCAGTGGTGCGATCACAGCTCACTGCAGCCTCGACCTCCTGGGCTCAAGTGATCTTCCCACTTCAGCCCCACCCCGAGTAGCTGGGATCACAGTTTTGTGCCACCACATCTGGCGAATTTTTAAAAGATTTTTTGTGGAGATGGGGTTTAACTATGTTGCCCAGGCTGGTCTTGAACTCCTGGCCTCAAGCGATCCTCCCGCCATGGCCTCCCAAAATGCTGAGATTACAGGTGTGAGCCACCAGCTGAGAAATGTTGAATTTTAAAGTTTTTATTTAAGAAATAAACATTGTAAAACATTATAAAACCCCCAACTATTGCAAGTTCTAGAGAAATTGAGAACAGAAATTTAGGTGACTAGAAAGAACAGCCAATGGCACAAGTCTTTACAATTAAAAAAATAAATCATTCTGAAAATACTGCATTTGCTCCCTCACTAGCAGCCGCCTGAGGTAGGTAACCTTGTTTACTGACGGGGAACAAGGCAGTATTCTTCACCAAATCTCAGGGCGGGTAGCCTGCAATTACAGCGTGGTGTTGGCCACTTGCGTCACTTGCTGGGACAGTGCTTAGGGACCTAACTTAGGAACATACATTTTGGGGCTGGAGGAAGCAGCAGTGCTCTACCGCGGCCCGGCAGACACCCTGTTAGGCAACACTGGGATCCAGCTCAGGAAAAGCATTATTTTCAAATTGTGCAAGCCAAGGCACAGAAGTGGTCTTCAACCTTGGGGAACGTAGAATCACCTGGGGAGCTTTAAAAAGGTCCTGATGTCTAGGACCTACTTCCCTGGTTCAGACTGCGTTGATCAGAGGTGTGGCTCTTCAAGTAACTGACATGCAGTCAAGCGCGAGAACCACTGGCACACAATGTTTAAATTCTAAATATATTTTACTTCCTAGTGTGTTGCTACTGACAAAACGTAGTCTTCTGGACTCATCAGAATGTTAGGCTCATACTTTTCTGGCAATAAATTACGGTAGGTAAAAGTAACCGCTGAACCTAAAATGAAGGAAGCAGCAATTAGATATAAAAAGCATCTTAAGATCAGCCTGCAAATTGTAAACTAGTTTACAAAGCAGACCATACAATGAGGAATAATTCGAGCTTGTAGAAATCCATGGTCTCCATCAGATACAGGTGTTCCGGATCTAGAATTATCTTCCTATTTGCAGGATTTCCGCAGAGCCCGCTAAGCTTGTACGCGCCCCTTCCTGGATCCCATGCTGCTTGGGGCAGGAAATTTCTTTTGGTCCATCGCTTTCGTCGTGAAATACAGAACTAATTTTCCTTTCATGTTATAAGGCACCATATGTATGATTTTGTTAACTGAAGAAAAAACCCGAGATTAACTCTTAAATAAGTACTTTTAAAAGTACTTACTCAGTGGCTGAATTCGGTGTTTAATAATCTGATACCCTTCTGGATTCGCCGGCACCGAAGAGAATAATTTCCAAGTTTTAACACAGCCAAAACAAAAAATTACCGTCGCTAAGCTACATCTAGCGCTGGATTTTAAAATGACAAAACAGCCTGAGAAAAATCACGAGAGCAGCTAATTCGAAGAAAAGTCCTTTTTCTTTACTCAGCGGAACCTAAGATCACAGTTACTTCGACAGCAACTTATAACCGTCTCACATCCTGTCACCAGTTCAATGACAAAATCTGTTTTCAGAGCATGTGCCAAGTCCAGCACAAAACGCTGACATCGACGACCTCCCAACGCTGCGGTCGCCTCCCCTGGCAGCAGCCGCTCCCGGCTTAGACTCACAGGCGGTCACGGCAGGGTCTTCGCCGCGGGCGTCCCGGCACCGGCGTGCAGTCCTCGGCTCGGCAGGGGCAGTCTTCGACGGCGCTGGCTACGCGTCCTTCCCCAGTGGCGCGGGGTCGAGGTCCTCACACGGGCAGCACCTTGGTGAGGCCGGCGCCGCGGCCCAGGCGACCCAGCGCGAGGCGCAGCGCGGTGCCGCCGCCCCAGGGCAGCAGCCCGACCAGCGCGGCCAGCAGCGCGGCTACCTGCGCGCCCGCGCCCAGCACCGTGAGCAGCGTGCTGCGCAGGCCCAGCGCGGCGAACAGCGTGGCGCCCAGCGCTGCCGTGTAGAGCAGCGCGGGCCGGGACGGCGCTTCTTCGCAGCGCAGCAGCCGCCCGCACGCCGCGCCGCCCCGCAGCAGCGCGCCTCCCGCCAGCGCCAGCGCCGAGCCCAGCGACCAGAGCAGCGCGAACTTGCGCGCGCGCAGCAGCAGCACCGGCGCGTAGAGCGCGGCCAGGCCGAAACAGAGTGCCGCCAGCAGCAGGCACCCGCCGCCCGCCGCCAGCCGCTGCCCGCGCGTCACGCTGGGCAGGCACGCCGGGCCCGCAGCCACGACCCCAGGGCTCCGCGCCCAGGTCCAGGGTAGGCCCGCGCGGCCCAGCCACGCCCCCGCCGGCCCGTCCCCGGGCTCCTCCGCCTTCCCCGCGGCGAGCAGCGGCTCCGCGGCCGCCGGGCCGCCCCCTTTCCCCTGCGCCAGGTACTCCTGCAACTGGCGGTGGAGGTCCGCCATCTTGGACAAGGTGGCGGCAGGAAGGAAAAACACCGTTCACATCCGGCCCTCCCCGGCCGCGGGCGGAAGCGGCTCGGCCTTCGGGCCGCAATTGGTCGGCCGCGGCGAAAGGGGCAGGGCCTGGGCGCTCGCGGAAGTGCCGAGGTGCCTCTTCCGCGGACTTTTGTGGTGTCCTCAAGTACCGCGGGCGTAGGTGCAGTTTGTCCGCCTGCAGTCGCCCTCCCAGCGCCTGACCCTCTTCCTTATTCTGAGTACGCGCCCTTACGGCCTGGCTAAGTCCTGCCAGCATTAATAGTTGGAAGGCAAGGGTGGCGGGTTCTAAAGGGGCACAAGAGGGACCCTTTTGCTGATAGAAATGTCCTGTGGCCTCACTGTCTGCGTCTACCGTGGCGGTGATATTGTGCTAGTTTTGCAACATGGAGGAATGGGTAAAAGGTACACGGGATCTGTTTCTTACAACTGAACACAAACTTAACAGTGATCTCAACATAAAAATTTGATTTTTTAAAAAAGTTGAGATCTGTGTGACTCAGGTGGTTTTTTTGGGGGGAAAGTTGCGTCCTGATTGGTTACGTCACTTGTAGTAATAGTGACCATCCTAATCACTTACTATGGGGTTGATAAAGGAAGGGTTGACACCCAGTAAGCTCCACCTGCTTCTCTATTCTGTTCTCAGTTTCAGCCACAGGCCTGGCAACATGCTTGAGTCCTTCGCGCCCCTTGTCCAAGACTCGGTGCTGCTGTCCTGTGTGTTTGGTGTCACTCTCGTGCTCGGGACACCGCCACGCCCAGGTGTCCTGACTCATCGTCAGATCACTCTGACAAGCTAACCATCCTGATTTATTCCGAGGCCGCACCCACGTGCCCTGCTCTTTCTCAGAGCCTCCTAGAGGATGTCTGCCTGTGGTTCTTCTCACAGGTCAGATTCCTCCAGATTCTTCCAGCTGCCTCCACAGCTCCCCTCACCACCTTGGCTTCCCCTGGGTGGCCCTGCGTCCTTTGTCCTCTGCCCTAGGTGGATGTAAAGTTAATGGCTTCCTGCTGTTTGACTTCTCAGCCTTTCCATCCCCTGTGTGACTAATCTCCCCCACTAAGTTCCTTTTAATGCTTTCTGTTTTCTTGGTTGGATCCTGACAGATGTAATTCTTTTTCAAAATACATTCTGATTTGTTATCTCACTTGATAATAATAGTGACCATCCTGATCACTTAGCATGGCTAAACCATTAGGATGGCTAGGATCGAAACAAAAAACAAAAACAAAAACAACACACCAGAAAGTTACAAGTCTGTCAAGGATGTGGAGAAACTACAAGCCTTGTGCACTGTTGGTGGGAATGTAAGATGCTCAGCTGCTGTGGAAAACAGTATGGAAGTTCCTAGAAAAATATATATATAAATAAATAAGTATATATATATGTATATATGTACACACACAGATACAGACACATAAACATATACACATATTTGAATACATATATGTGTGTGTGTGTACATAATTACAGTCTGATCCAGCAATTCCACTCTGGATATATACCCCAAAGAATTGAAAGCAAGGTCTCAGAGATTTGTATAACTCTTCATAGCAGAACTATTCATGTTAGTCAAGAGATGGAAGCAACCGAAGTGTCCACCAGCAGATAAATAAATAAAATGTGAGATATGCATACAGTGGACTGTTACGCAGCCTTGAAAAGGAAGGAGATTCTGACGCATGCTACCACATGGATGAACCTTGAGGACATTATGCTGAGTGAAATAAGCCAGTCACAAAAAGGACCAATACTGCATGGTTCCACTTCTGTGAGGTACTTAGAGTATTCAAATACGCAGAGCTAGAAAGTGGACTGGGGACGTAAATGCCCATCAGTGATGTTACCTAATCATTTATGCAGCTACCATATAGAAAAGGCAGGACTGTGCTGCCCATTTTATAGGTGAGGGAAGCTGAGAAATACCAAGAAGTTAAGTAACCTACCCAAGGTCACCTACAAAACTGACAGTAGGGTAGTGTTAGGTTGTGATTTCTGGTTTCTAACCTTGTGGGCTTCCCATTGCAGGAAGAGGCTTTTGCTGGGGGTCCTTCTGTGTGAGCCCTGGATGGGTTTTCTGCTGTGGTTTGGCTGCAGGGAGGGAAGGTCATTAACAAAACCCACCTTCCTCCAGCACTGCAGCAAAACTCATCCTAACAACCATCTCTTGCTTCCCTGTCTCCCTTGAAGCCCTTCTACCAGGCCTTCAGTCCACCGCGCCAGCAAAATCGTTCATCACAAAATCGCCAGACGCTGTTGGCTAGTGCAGTGAATTTCAGCCTTCAGCCCCAGGATGACACTGTGGGCTCCTCTCTTGGCTGTTCCTCCTCCTGAGCCCTCAGCGTTGCTGCTCCTGGGGGATCTCCTCTTTTCTCTCTTGGCACCCTCTGGCCCAGCCCGTGTTGTTAAAACCCTCCTGGTACAGATCCTCCCCACTTCTCCACCAGGCCATCTGAATAGACACCCTGGAGGTCGTGTGCAGAACCAGACACTGTCACTCCTGACTTCCCTCCTCATCCCCCAAAACCTGTAGCTACCGCCTCCTCCCGCACCTCGATAATCGCACGCCATCAGTAAGTCCGCCACTCTACCTTGGAAACAGATCCAGTACCAGCCCATTCTCCCTCCACCACTAACCCCACATCTGGGCGCCTGCCTGCACCCCCCCACAGTGGTCCCTGTTTTGGTCCATGCTTTCTTCAACGGTTCACACATCGGCCTGAGGGACCTTTGTCCATTGAGTCAGATGATGTCACTCCCCCATTGCTCACCTCACAGAAGCGACTTCCTCACCTCACCCACGCTGCCCTGTGGGATGGCCCGGGACCTGTTCTGCCTCCACTCCCTGCTTTCTCCCGCCTCCATCCTGTTCTACATCGGGTGGTCTTTGGGTTGTTTCTGGATCTGTCAAAACATGTTCCTCTAAAGCATTTCCTACCCCCAAATATCTTCACAGCGCCCTCCTCATTTTTTCAGGTCTCTACTTCAATGTCACTTTCAGAATGTCCTTCCCTGACCTCCCGGAAGCAGCGGCTCACCCTCCACCCCTTTTCACTCACAAGCATAACGGACCGGTGGCACACTCATTTCCTGGGTGGTTTAAGAACAGGCAAATGCCTTTCCAAGTCTCCCTCCCTCCCCATCCTTCATTTTGAGCCTGTCCTTCTTCTGGGCTCCATTCACGTGAACGTTGAATGTGGATGGAGATGCAAAGGGAGCCAGACTCACACAAATGCAGCAGGGCCCCGAAAGAGTTTTTTTTTTTCTTGTTCTGAAACCCCATTCTGTGTTCCTCTGTTGTGGTGCTGGATGCCTTGTCCCCGCGGGGGGAAGCCTGGCTTTTTCAGGAGCTTTAGATTTCACCGCGTCAGCACCAGGCGCAGGGCCTGGCCTCAGCTCTTGCCAGCCACCGCATCTGCAAATCCCGGGCAGGGCTCCTCGGATGCCCACGTCCTCCCTCCCACTCCATTGTCGACTTTTGCATAAGGTCAGGCAGTCCCAGCTCCCACCTTCCCCAGGGGAAGGGGCCAGAGCCAGCCTTTTCTTGCTGCCAAGGTCTTTCACCTCGACCTAAGGAAGCAGTACCCCTTCGCACCAAATCTTCTCCCGCCTGCAGTAAACTGTTATTTTCTCTCCAGAGCCCAGCAAGTGTTATCCATGCTGCTTTTAAGGGCTTTCCAGAGTGGCGTCCTCTCCCTTCCCCTGTCTGGGCCATGGCCTCCTCTGTTCAGCTGGGTTTACTTGTACCCTGCCGGGCCTCAACCTGAACTACGTTCTCCTTTCTTCAGTGTGGCTTGGGTCAGCCAGCGCCAACCACCCACTTGTTTTTTGAGACAGGATCTTGCTCTGTCGCCCAGGCTGGAATGCAATGGTGTGAATCTTGGCTCAGTGGCAACCTCTGCCTCCCAGGTTCAAGCCGATTCTCCACCTCAGCCTCCAAGTAGCTGGCACTACAGGCGCATGCCACCATTATTTTGTGAAGACGGGGTTTCAACAGGTGGCCCAGGTGGTCTCGAACTTCAAGAGCTCAAGTGATCCGCCCACCTCAAGCCTCCCAAGTGCTAGGATATTACAGGCATGAGCCACGGCACCAGGTCTACCAATGCCCCTTTTCAAAACTGCTATCTTAGTCCTGTCCTCTTTACCTAATATTCTTCAGTGGCTCCTTATCTCCTACAGATTAAATTCTAATTCCCCGCCCTGCCACCAGCCTTCTAGGCCCTGCCTTAGGCCCTAATGGCTCTCCCCGATGCCTCTGTGGGGTCCCTCTGGACCTAGCAGTTTGGAGACTCCCTTCTTCTGTGGCTTTGCTGAGCCTGGGCTCTCTGCTGGGTGACCCCTGGTCTACTGCTTCCTTCCTCTCCCTCTCCCAAGCCATCCCCTTCCTCCGGTCACTCCCTCAGGGCCCACCACAGCCCTGTCATCTGGCTGGTGACATCGCCCAATGCCTTGAGGAGTTTTGTTATCAAGCAAATGGGCTCACCGCTTATGCACAGTGAAGCCAGTAACACTGGCAGCAGCTTTTGAGAAAGAAAGGCTTTATTGCAAAACTGACCAGCAAGAAGGCAGAGTGGGGCTCAAATCTGTCTCCCCAGTTTGAGGTCTGGGGCAAGCTTTAAGGGACCAGAGGGGCAAGGGAAATGATTTAGCAGTGTTGGCTTGGCAGGTCTGATTTGGGGCTTCCAAATTTAACCATTATGGAAAGGATTGTCAAGGCAGATTTGAGCCCCAGTCTCCCAGGCCAACGGATCCCTGCTTCTGAAAGAATTTCCATGTTCAGGTTCCAGTCCTGTCCTGGTCGTCTTGGTTCTGAGGGGAGGAGTCATTGGTTCTGGGTATTGTTAGAGGTCAAAGCTTGTTCCATTTGTGCATGCCTGGGCTCCATGCCTTGCAGTTTTGGGCTCTGTTGTACCTAAAAGCAAGGTGAACATTCTGTCATCAACAAGGTAGGCCCAGTATGGGCCGGGTCTCACAGTTATAGTTTTCTCTTTCATTTACTAATTTTTAAAGAATACCTAACTCTTGCGTCGTGATGGTCTTCTCAAGTCTCATTTCTTTGTGTCCCTGCTTCCCAGCCCCTGTCACTGTCTTCAATTGCCTTGGCTTTCTGGGTGACCTCGAGTTGGGTGGCTCAGGCTTTGTGACAAGTATTGGCTCACCAGGCTGATTCATCTTGGCTCAGTCCCTGTCTGGGTTGGTCCCGCCTGGCCCATGGTGATCTTCCTCAGGCACAGTGCCAAAGCACTTGCCAAGTAAATGAAGATGCCTCCGCCCCGCCCCACTGGGGCAGCAGAGCCTCTCCGTGACCACTGGCGCTAGAGCTTCTGCACCGAGGGAGGTGCTCCTGCCAAGGCAGTGGTTACCAGCAGCCACATGTAGCGTCTGCCACCTGCGGGGCAGCTGAGGAACTGAATTTTAAATTTGAATTAACCGTAGCCCGGGCGTGGTGGCTCACGCCTGTAATCCCAGCACTTTAGGAGGCTGAGGCGGGCGGATCACGAGGTCAGGAGATGGAGACTATCCTGGCTAAACACGGTGAAACCCCGTCTCTACTGAAAATACAAAAAAATTAGCCCGGCCGGTGGCGGCGCCCTGTAGTCCCCAGCTACTGGGAGGCTGAGGCAGAGAATCGCTTGAACCCTGGAGGCGGAGCTTGCAGTGGCCGAGATCAGCGCCACCACACTCCAGCTTGGGCGACAAAGCGAGACTGTCCTCAA